GTCTTCAAACTCAGGATTTATACAGTGGTAATTGTTCAAAACCAATACTATAAGCCTATAGTCTAAAGCTTGTATAACTTTTATCAAGTAGTTCTTAAGTGCAAGAAACTTTAGCAGAGAAAAGAAAGGACAATATTAAAAGAAAAGTCAGCATGTTAGAAAAGAGGAAAACTAAGAAGTGAGCCAAAAAAGAAAATAATATAAGGATTGCCATGCACTGCCCCTCCATGTTTTTATTAGTAGTACTTTTAGCATTTTTACATATCACCTTTAAAATACTTTCCTTCAAGAAATAGGCACAAGAGTAAGTTTAATAGGTATGGGAGGAGAAATAAAGTAAACCTGAGGTTGATTGTTATGACAGACTTAATGGATGTATGATTCAATGAATTAGATACAAAATGTTATTCATTCTAAGGTTATGCTATTTATTTCCATTTTTGTATGAACTTTTGGCCATGAGTTATTTTTGACCATTGTCAAGTTGAACACTTGATGCCAGAATGAAGACAAAAGAATAAAAAATGATTCATACTTATGTATTTGGAATTCACCTCAGGTCTTAGATTCTGTTTGTTATATACACATTTCTCCCCAGTTGGATAAAATAAAAAAGTGAGATGTTTGTGGGTGTTTAGGGCATACGAGTTAGGGAAGAACTGAGAAAGAGATGGAGAACAGCCCTATAGGAAACCTGGCTAGTTTACTCTAGCTGATATGTATTTTTATAGATTCTACTTATGAGTATTATTTCTAAGCAAATTGTCACTTTATATTCCTGAATCAGTTAACATTAATGAAGGCAAATTTTGCAGCTTTTTAATTTTGTTTTTCTGTAACTAGTATCTCTCTAATAGATCCATTTAAGGAAAATAAAGTTTTATCTTTATAACTTTATAATCACCAATTGCTATCAATATATACTGAGCTAGTCCATGTGGCAATGGACTAGCAAGAATGTATACCTTGCATAAGGGATAATTAAAACTCAATCTCAGCTTCTGTACCAACCTATGGACTCACATTGATTGACTTTTATTAAAATCTTTATGGACAGAATCTCAGATATGATGCAAATCATCAGAGCTTAAGGTTGAAAACAAAGAGGGGAGGTACAATAGGATCTCAACTGCAGGCAACATAAGAATATCCCCACATCTTTGTTCTGGTTCCAGGTGGTTTGCTGCTTGCTGCAGATGTGGCTGTGTTGCCACCTGGGGACATGAATCACTGCTGACGTCTCATCCTCCTCACCATCTGTCGAGTAATCCTTGGCAGAGTGGCTGGTGCCTGGGGGAGTCTGTGGGCACACAGAAGCAGAGCCTTGGCATTTTCTGGGACTCTATCCTGCATCTTGCTACTGTTGCTAATGCTGGAAAACTGAAAGTTTAGGAGTTCTGGTTTCAGCACAATCTTTAATGTATGTTTGACAATAATTATGTTAGTAAAACTGATGATGGGAAAGACAGTCAAGTCTGTAGCACTGAGAACTGATAGCACACCTTTGTTGTCCCTTTAGATGTTATTTTTCAGGTTGCCTGCTACTCACTAAAGATAGGCTTTCAATAATTAAGCATAAGTAAAAAAATTTGAGCACACAATTCCCCAGTTACTTGCTGTCTACTCTTCAAGATATCCCCAGGATGGGCCTCACTGTTGGTGCAAGGGAGTAAGCTATCACTAGCCACTGAAGCTTGAGTTTGATCTCAGTCAGAGAGCTGACCCTCACGGGGTAGCAGGCCTCTCCTGTCTCGCCTCCTAGTCCCCTAGCAGTATATTACAGTTAGTTACCTGTTCTTCTCCCCACTCTGTCCCTGTTGAATCCTCTCATCCCCCACACCTCTGGCCTTACTGCAGTTCTTCTACATAAAAATAAATACAATCTTTAAAATATATATATATATAAAAGATATCCCTAGGGTAGGACACATTATGTTCCTATGACCGTCAGGTTTACAGTTGCAGTTACTCAAAAAGGCAGGGATAGTAGGAAATGAAAGGTAGGTTGGCCCCATGATGGAATCTGTGTTGATGTCTTCATCCCTTTATATAAATGTCATCATTGTGACCAAATGGAGCTACAAGTATTTTATTTATTTGAAAATCATCTTGAAGTTTTACCTACTGCAATTTTGTTTGTTGGCTGAAGACATGAAATCAGGGAAGTCACCAAGTCTGTTTATAGGTTGACATCTACTTTAAGCTATTTTTTCTAGGACAAGGTAGTTCTGGCAGCCCTATGGCCTCTCATTAGGACCTCCTGGAAAAAAATGCCTAAGAATTATCAGAAAACACAATCATGTGAAACCAGAGAGAGTAGTCCATCCACAGGGATGCCAACTAGAATGGGCTCCAGTATTCTTTTGTCAGAAACAGTGATTTTATAATTTTCTAGTAGACATTTATTCTCATGATTGAACTATCAGTCCACACACTTGTATATTTTATTCTGTAGTACCAAGATTAGTATTTTATTCCGTAGTTCCAAGATTAGCTTCAAAAATACCTCCAAACTTAAAGTTGTCTTATACCAAGTCTATATCAGTAAAGTGACACATACAATCAAGCAGTGATACGATGGTGTTCCTTGTGGACAGCTTCTGCACTCACATAGTTGAGATAATATAAAAGGCTGCCACTGGCATCAGGAATTTTGAGTGTTTTTGTTTTTTTTTTTTTCCTGCTGGCTAAAAGTTCAGTAATTGTGAGAAAGTAGACAGGAAATCCTTCTTAAGCATGGTGCTACTCAAAGGAAGCAATGAAGTGGTGGAGGTCTGAGATTAAAAGCCTGAGGAGGCTCTAATCGAGCAAAACATCTGCAAGCTTAGCTTTGTCCAGAATGAATATTCAGCAGAAGCAAGCTGAGTGGTGGCTCAGACAAGTCCACAGTGTCAGGATTTTTCTACCCCACTGTCTTCTACATCTCAACAACTGAGAAACCATGGGGAGGACAGATGTTTCAGATTCAGATGCAATTAAATCTTGACTGTATAGCATTCCAACTGTGTGAACGTAGGCCACATTACTTAAACACTAATGGCCTCTGTTTCTATGTCTTTCATATGAAGAGAAGAATTTTGATATTCTGAGAATTGTAAGGATTATATTTTAAGGAATGATACAAGTAAAATGCAGAGTATGGAGCTGAGTGGATAGTGGCTGGTAAATATAATGGCATTGAATGTTCGTGGAATCCTTTTGGCAGTGATATTTAAATAGAACAGCCACAGTTGTACAAATAAGGTAATGCCAGTAATGTACAAGTACTGTGCTTTAGGTTGCATTTACATTGTGTTGACCTTCAACCTTGAAGTGATTTTAAGTAAAAGATGGTAACCAGATAGAAGAGCACTTTTAATTTCACTAGAATCATTCCAATAAAATTTCAGACAGAAAACACTGCAGTGTCTCAAAAAAAAAAAAACATAGAAAAGTTAAATGCAGGTTTTTTTTTAAAACTAGAATTTAAATGTAGTTATATCAGCTTGAATCTAGAGTGCATGTGTATAAACAAGTTAAAATGAGATCTCTGATTCCCTTGTTGACTCAGTAAAGTTTCAGCGGTGTAATGGAGAATGCTGCTTCATCCCTATAGAGCTGCCTCATGACTCTTAAGACTTGTGTTATTTTAAACAAGATTTTTCTGTTTATTCCTCAGTAATATTTGTTATTTCATCTGTCTAGGGTAAAGAAGAGTACAGACCATAATTTCTTTTTTTTCACTGGCATCACTAGTAATTATTATTTGGTAATAGAGCTCCCCAAATGACCAGTTTTACTGCATACTGATATATTTACTGTTCAGGAAAAATAAAACCTAAAAAAGAAATAAGTTTTATAGTGTACGGAAATAGGCTATTTACACAGTTTTTGAAGACCTGACCTGACACAATGTTAGAGCAGAGATCAATTCTGAATTGTTGATCCTATCAAGATTTTAACAGCTGAAAGTGTCATTAATTCCTTTTTAATGGACATGACAATATTAAGATTACATGTTATAGTCAAGGGGATTGCCATTAAGTTTGTCGCAATGTTGTTATGTTATTGAGGCCCCAGACATTCTCATGAAGAGAGATTGTTACTATGTAAGGAAGCTTTTGCTAAGGCAAATGCTATGTGACATTGTGGGAATCAGGTCAAGATATTGGGACTGATTTACAAAAATCACACTTTCAAATCAATTTTCATGCAAGTGTTAGACGTAAATTGAGAATAAAAGTAAATCAGTACAAAACATATGGGCAGTATACAATGTTTTGTGTATATAGGCTGAAAAAAATGAAGTGCCTTTTCTACTTAAGAAACTGTGGAAATATGTGCACATAAATATACATATGCCCACAGCAGTGGTTGTATGCGATCTGGATAGACCTGAATAGATAGGAAGGATTGATAGTTGTATACATGTAAAAATTTTGATTTGGGAATCATGCATGTATTACCTAGTTACAAAATGAATGTTTAAAAACATGCTTTCATGAGAACTTGCATGGGCTTTCGTTTTTTTCTTTATCTTGAATGAAATTATTCTTCTACAAACTAGATATCATTAATTTAGTTTTAAGAAGAAATGATATGTGATGTTAAGTGAGATATTTTCTGTGACTTAAATATAATTGAAAAATGGGTTTATAGTCATGATTTACCCAATAAGTTTTGTATATTTGAACCTACACACCTATATTAAAGGCCATTTTTTTACATGATTGCGTCCAGTTTGATAACAAACTGAATGCTTGAGGAGGAATGCTTTTCCTGGATTATAAATTCTTGAATAAAGAAACTATTCATTTTATTCACCTATGGAGGCCAAGATTTAAAGCACAGTAATACACGTAGTATGCCCAAGTCCCTTTTTAACATTTCCAATCTCTGTAGCAAGCACATTTTGAGATATAAGAAATTAAGAATTATATCAAATTTGACTAAAGAAAATAACACAACCTTTTCAGTGTTTTGAAAAAGAATACTGTTATACCTGTGTTTTATTATAAATAACCAGGTTCTGTCATATTTTATCTTCTTGCCAGCAAATGAAGGACATTGTTTCATAAAGCTTCTAAAATGTACATGAATATTTAATTAAATCATATCTCCTTGAGAAAATAAAGTTCATTCGCATTTATAGCATACCATTGTGAGGAGTACGTAATTGTCAGAAGACCAGGGTAGCCAGTACCGATTGCTTATGGAACGAAACTCCTCAATTTTTAAAACTTTTTTTTTAAAAAATAAACATACAATCATAGGTGTTCATTTACTTTAAAAATCCTAAAGATGAAGAAAATTATTGTCTATATATTTAAGTCCTTGTATAAATTACAAAACTCAAGTTTATGTTACAGAGTCCCTTCCCCATAGGAAGCATAAAGCACTTTTGTGGTACCTTTCACCAGTAAATCACATTGAATTTGATAAACAAAATAAAAGTTGATATTGCATCTGTAAGCCCCAAGAGAACATTCTTCTAAGCTGTCTCTCATGGTTAATGAGCTTAAAAAGTCATTCAATTGCCATGATTTAACTCAGTATCAAATAAAGATATATGAAAGAAATACATATATTGACTTCAGTAGAAATCTGAAATATCAGTGAACTGCAGACTCTTCTTGCTTCAGGTCAACAAACACCCTTTGGAAGACAACCAAGAGTAGTTAAGACCAGGACAACAAAATAAAATTATAACAATAATAATAACAATAAAATAACAATAATAAAATAAAAAATAACAACAACCAACAATGAGGTAAACTCCCCTTAAAAAAGGCAATATGTGTTGCCTGGACTGTCAGGAGAGAGTTCGATTGTACCTGACACCCAAATGTTTTTCCAACCAGAGTTCAGCCAATTGCATCGTTGAAGCAAACGTACTTGCCTTGGATCCTAAGCACATCTTATATTGCTTAGGGTCCAAGTTAGGGTCACAATGAACTGGATGGAAAATATGCACCACTCCTATTTCTTGACTTCGGAAGGGTCGTAGGCCAGATAGAATAACTTTATTATAGAGATCTACATCTTCTAGTCCCCAGCCTTGTATTGAGGTATCAAATCCACCTGCATCAAGAAGATCACTTTTATAAATACAGGTAATTCCATATCCATAGTCTCTCCAGAATCCAGTCTTCTTTGAAAAAACAAAGTCATCATCAGTAGGAGGGTTTCCCCCATTAGTTACCTTTGGGTCATACTGGCTAAAGATGATGGGGTAGTATACCTGTTGACCCTGAATTGTATTATCTCTACATCGCTGGAGAAAATCTCCTCGGAAGATCAAGTCAACATCACAGAAAAGCAGCAAAGTATCATTGTCAAACTGGGAAGAAGCCATTTCAAGACCAAGACCTCTGGAAAACTCTCCCTTCATAGGGATCAGGGACATATCTGCTTTAGGGTACTTGCTCTGATATTCTTTTATCAACTCAATATGTCTGTTGGAATCTTGACCAGATTCCCCACTGAAAAGGATAATGACCAACTTTACATTCTGCTTCGGGATAAGACAAGTATTTTCAAAGTTCTCCATGAATCTCAAGAAAATGTCATACCTTCCAATGAGAGGAACAAGAATGTGTATTTTCTTTTCACTGTGCCCCCCCATTTCTTTGGCACCTTGAAAAGAAGTTAGCATCTTTAAGGAATTAGATATAAAGGAGAATGACTGAGTGTCACTGTTAATACTCTCCACCAGACTGTTGACATCTAGCTCTTCAGTTTCTTTGAAGAAAGGCTTGCTGAATAACTGCTGAAGATATGCATGGCGTCTCACTGGCACAGTCAGTTTTCTTCCTTTGTGTCTTTTGTATAAGAGGAGTAAATCCAAAATGTACTCCACCCCATGCATGGGGTCAACCCTGCGGTAGCCATATTGAATTTCCTTGAAGTCAATGAGACGTCCTCTACTCTTGGCATTCTCATTGATCATTTCCATCACCTGTAGGACAGTGTCATCCAGTGCTGTTTTAAGGATGCTGTTGATGCTCTGCCGAGGAGGGTGGTTTTCAGATGCTGAGTAAAGGAGTTTCCCTGTCAGGAATTCCCATTCTATCACTTCATCTCTCTCTCGAGGCTGGAAGTGATTGAAAGATGGCATTACTCCCAGCTGCTGGTCTTCTTTGCTTACTTCACTGTTACTGAGCTTGCTCATCAGAGCACTCTCTCGGTGGAGCTGGATGGTGCGGTAGCGAAGTTCAGAAATTTTGCGGCTGAGCATGTAATTATGAAGCCTGTATTGGTAGGCAGGCCTTTTGTTAGGATGAAGTGTTATGGCTGCATGGATTTTACTGTTATGAAGGTCTTGGATATAACCCTTCCGATTGTGTTCATAATTTTCATGAAATAATTGCTGCATCTGAAAAGTAAGAGAAAATCAGGGTATTAGAATAAACTTAAAAAATAAAAAAACAATAAACTAAAACACTTACATTAAAAGAGTTAATAAAGTTAGATGGCATTTGAGAATGAAAATTAAGTGTAAAAGGTATTTTGCATAAAAATAAAAATAAAAGCAATGTATCGATTAAAATAAATGAAATACTGCTACTTATAACACAAATGAATCCCACAAAAAAGTAATAGAATCCAATACAAAATAATATATTTTGATTGATTCTAGTTTTTTTAAATTCATGAACAGGTAAAGGTACCTGTGTTTTCAGCTGTTAACTAGTGCTTAAAAATTCTATTTGATGATCTAGGTCGTGCTTATGCATGTGCATTTAGCTGGTGAACATTCATTGGATTTTTCCCTGAAGACATGTTTGTTATATTCCAATTAATAAGATATGTTTTAAAAGTATTTATACATATATATGAATATATGTATATATCCATATATATATGTAGAATTAGTTAGGGACTTTTGATTTATATACATGTGAATGTGGATAAGGAGGTAAAACAAGCGAGGAGATATTGAATAGCTTTCCTGAGAAGGTGATCTAAAAGCAGTAAAGCCAGTACCTTGGCAGAGTCTTTAACTTTGGTATTTTTTTTAAAGATTTATTTATCTATGCATACAGAATTGGGGTATATGCCAGAGATGTGGGGAGTAAGTGAATTCACTAGAGACAGAGTGGGGAGCAGAACAGACAAATGTACTGAATTACACTGCTAAGGGGAGCAGTGGGTGGGTCAGGAGAGGTCTGCCTCGCCATGTGGGTCACCTCCCTGGCCAGGGGTCAAACTCATGCTGCATTGGCTGTCATAGCTGTATAGTGTTGTGTTTAAACCCATTGTGACACCAGAAAGGATCCTAACTTTGGTATTTTATCAAATTAACTTCATTCATGACTTTGAAGAATACAACAGTAGATATTTTGAGAAGCATTTTGGACTTGTTTCAAGATGCAGTTGTTCAGTTGCATCCAATATATTGAAACCCATGTTAACTTTTACTTGAAACATTGATTGATGTTAAATTAAATGCATAATTGCATTCAGCACTTATAGCTCCATTTTGTAGTAGTATCTTTTTGTCTGAAAATTACTTAATATTTTACTTTAGGTAATTTCCATCCACTTTCCTTTGTATGCAAGAAGCTAAAAAACATTTCTAATTGTGTATAGACTACTAATTATACCACCTTGGCTCGCTGAAACTATTTTTTCCTAAGGCATGTCTTACATTATTAACAAGAGGAAACATGCTAAATCAAAATAGGACACATTGTGTAGAGACAAATGTTAAACTGCAGACTTTCATGATATTGAAGTGACTAGCACTTCACAATTTGATAAAGGTAATATTTTGTTGAGAATAAATAATATCTTTGTATTGAAAATTTTTTTTAAAGATTTATTTATTTATTCATACAGAACTGGGGTACAGGCCAGAGATGTGCAGGGTGAAAGGATTCACCAGGAACAGAGTGAGGAGCAGAACAGGCAGATGGATGAAGTACACTGCCGAGGGGAGCAGTGCGCGGGTCAGGAGAGGTCTGCCACACCATGTGGTCACCTTCCGGGGCAGGCAGGGATCGAACTTTTGGGGAAGTAGCTTTAGCTTCTTAGTGCTGTGCTTTAACCCACTGCACCACCAGGGAGGGCCTGTATTGAAATTTTTCACTGACATTACTCATATAATTAAAATCTAAACAGTCTATTTGGTGCTGATAGTTTTGTTGTATTCCTTTGCAGAAATTTTACAACCCACAAAGACAAATGTGCTATTCAAAATGACACAATGATATATTTTCCAGGTAGTAGTCATAAGGACATCTTGAATTTGTCATAATTTTCATTAAGAAGCATAGGATATACTCAAATGTTCTACTTGTATATATAGAGAAATCTGGCATATGTATGTGTGTGTGTATATATATATATATATATATATATATATATATATATA